TGACTTCCAAATAAACTCCTATGTTTTAGTCTATTTGTAGAGTAAAAACTAAATTGAAAAATTATATGTTTTGCTGCTAATGGTCATTGATTGAAAGGGCTCTGTGTGTAAAGAAAGGAAGGTGTCTGTCTGAATAAACCTAAACCACTTTGTTTCCCTCCTTCCTGCAGCTCCAGTTCAGGTTTCTCAGACAGCAGACCTCAATCTCCAGCAAGGACAGCAGGCCTCAACTCCAGCACTCCTCCACCGCCACCACCCCCTCTCCCACCTCCTCCTCCACCCCTGCCCTCATCGGGCCTGCGAGGCACTGCTCCTCCTCCTATTCCTCCTCTGCCAGTCCAGCATCAGCCTCCAGCAATCCCTCCTCCCCCTGCTCCGCTTCAGATCGCGCCCGGGGTGCTCCACCCGGCCCCACCACCTGTCGCGCCTCCACTCCACTCCTTGTCTCCAGCCCGACTCCAGCATGTCCACGAAAAGGGCCAATACAGTGGCTCTGGGACCCAATCAGATGGTACCATCTTACCCCCTCCCCCACCACCACCTCCACTCCCTCTTCCTGGAGTGCGAAGTTCATCACCCTGTCCCTCAGGCCCGCCACCTGTGCCGGCTTTCCCCTCAGCAGGAGCCATGGCTTCCCCACCTCCTCATGCCATGCATGATGTGGCTACCAAGAGGCACTATTCATCCAATCTGCCACCAATCAGCGACGCACGCAGCGTACTCTTGGAAGCAATCAGGAAAGGTCAGATGTGTTTTTATGGGTAAAACTTCAGAATCAGAGCCATTTCTACTTATTTCGGACTTTCAGGGCTGCAGTTTTTTTATTACACACTTCTTTAAAACTATTCATATTTCGAAAGGCACATGAGTTTTCAATTGCCCCTTGAACATTTAGTTCAAGTTTGTATATTGTCAATAGTCAGGAAAAGAGAAAAAATATATGAAAATATGAACATATGCCAGCATATGCTCAGAAGAATGATGATGTACAATGAATATTAAAACATTGAACACTTAAAAACACAATGGCAACTCAAGACTACATTACACCGACATCTACAGCTTGAATTCTTTAGATTCTTCTTTAGATTTCTTTTAGATTTCTCACTTCTTTAGGTAATAGATTTAAACTTGCATACTACAGAGGGATTTCAAAACATTATTTAGTGAACCTTGACTCTAATTTATAACTGTGGTTGAGAACTGCCTGTGACAAAAACGTCACACCTGAGTGGACCCCAAGTAAGGCATTGTTTCTGCTTCCCTTTTGACCAGCTTCGTTGCCTAGACAACCACAGATAACAGCCCTTCAATTTCTCCTAACAGTTTTAAAACAGTAATGTATTGTAACAGTAAAGACCTTATATAACAGTCATCAGGTCAAATGGTTATTCCCAGTATGCTTTAAAAGCTCCTCAACTACAACTACAGTCTTTTTAAAAATATTTTGCCTAACAGGTTATGTACAAGCACTAATTGCATAATTATGGTTTAGAGTAACTCATTTTAAAAGAAAACCAAATTAACAGAATATGCATTTTCATTGCATACCTTTTTAAATATGATAATATGTTCTCTTAACGGCTTTTCAGAGTCCATTATATGAAATTGCAGTTATAGGGGCTAAATCAAAACTAGATATGGATTTTTTGTAATACTCTATAAATGTCTTTTTATTTACATAAAAAAAAAAATGTAGAAGATAATTTCCTGGCTGAGAATCTGCATTCCACTGCAAACCTTCTGGTACTAGATACTGATGTTTGTTTCTATTTTCCCGCTGCAGGAATCCAGCTGCGAAAAGTGGAAGAGCAGCGAGAACAAGAGGCTAAGCATGAGCGAGTCGGGAACGACGTGGCCACCATCCTCTCACGGCGAATTGCTGTGGAGTACTCTGACTCGGAGGATGAGTCGGAGTTTGATGAAGGGGATTGGATGGAATGATAGAGGGCATTGGGGAAAAAAAGAGAGCCTTTGATGGTTGTTGAGAAAACGTGTTCAGGTGCCCCCGACCACTGACGCTCCTCTGCTCACCGTTCTATGAAGAGGGGCGTTTTGATCACTCATATTTTCTGTCTTTTTGGTTTATCTCATCATATCTTTGTCTTGTTGTCGTTTGTGTTCGGTGGAAAGACTCCACTTTGCTGTCATTGGTCTCATTATTGTTTCAAGAGTTTCTCTCCTTTTTTGGCCTTCATTCATTTCTGTGATATCCCTCTACCTGGTTAATCTTGTGATGACCTTTAAGGGTTGAGGAAAACGACATTTTGGAGAACCATTTTGTTTTCTGTTGTTTATCTGTTCAGTAATGTTGGGAAAAAATAGTGAAGGAAAAACAAAGGCATGTTTCATGCATCAGTTTTCCAATATAATTTAGTCACCTGGTGGCTCAATATGGCATTGAGTGAATGCTGCTTTTGTTTTAGTAGCTTTTATAGTCTTAAAACATAAATTGATTTATAAGGCCAGTAGTTTCTAATACTGAGCACTACATGAACAGCTTGAAAACCAGTTGGGTTGGGGTTTTTTATTTTATTTTCTGACGTTACTTCAGACAACTTTTTTCTGAGGAAGCATTTGGCTGTTGTGACACTTTTGTGCATATCCATCCATTTATCTTTATTCCAGGGGAAATGTTTGACAAGAGTTTGCATTGTTTTCTGTCTGTCCAGGTTCTGCAAAATAACTTCTGCCATTTCTGAACTCTAAAAAATGAAGTAGAACATTTCTCACAACTCTGGGTTTTTATATCTCTACAAGTATATCAGAGTTCCTGCCTTTTTCATTGTGTGGACCATTAACTTTTACAAAAGGCAGCATTTCTATCAGATCTTCTTCTCCCACTTACTGTGTACCTGTCCACCAAACTGCAGACTATTTCTCTTTTGTACTTCAGAGAAAAAAAATCTGCCTGTTAATGAATTTATGAGGCGTAAAACAGAACATTTTATGCCTTTATTTGGCTCATTGCAAAGTAAATATCTGCCATTGCTCAGTTAGATTTGATTTCTCTTTTTTTTGCCTTTTTCCAACTTGCCTTATTGTTCGTAAAAAACGTATTATTGAGTTAATGAATGTATTGTGCTGTTACTACTTACTTGCCTGCGCTTGTATGGATTTGCTGTTTCTATGTTTTGGGGCACAAAAGGACAGAAAACCTGGTTCAAAGAAAATTTGAAAAAGATTAGAACTTTACTGTATATCATATAACTTATGTAACTGTTGACTATAACAGTTTGCTTGAATTAATAAAAATCTAATGTTATGTTTGAGCTTCATATGTTACATGCTTGTTGTTGAGCCTAATATCAGTTAATACATTTTTAAGATAGAAGAAAACTTGGAGCTGGACAAAAAGGTATAAGGAAACTTGATGGCCTCAAGAGCACTTAATCAGGGTTTCTCCACATCAGTGCATTGACATTAAAAATGTTCCCTCCCACATCATGCTGATGGATACAGCCAGCGCTCTTAATCAGGATAACCTTCTTCAATAACAGCGTTTGGTTATGATATGTACAATGGCCTAGGTGTGCAGACTAACTGAATATAAGAGTACTTATATTAAGTACTAAAAATAGATATGAAATTGATTCACAAATCACACAACAGATGCAAAGGACAAAAACGCTGCAAAAGAGGAATGCTGCAGTCACAGCATTTTGTAGCATGGTGCAAACAAGATATATACTGCAAACACATAAATAATTTTAATAGAGATAGCACATTACATGCAAGAGAAATGCTGGAAGAAGCAAAAACTGCAAGTTAAGAAGAGCTGAAAATTAGCTCTGCAAAAGGTGCTCTGGACCACCAGGGGGAGCAATTATTAACCCATTGCTTTGGACCTTCCAGTAGTTCTAGTTTCACCCCAGGGGTTTAAAGTATCTTCATTAAGTGGATCTAATTTGCAAGTTTTTCTTAACTAACAGTTTGTGATACTTGCAGCATTTTTATTTTTGCTTTTTATAATTTTGTGTGTTGGCATAACGTATGCGTCTGCAGCACATATTTCCATTGCATTTGCACTATGCTGTTCCATGTTATGTGATTACAGCAGGTTTTGCTTTTTGTGTATCTTGCATGTTAGTCTATCTTAATACTACATTTTTTGGCAGTCTTACTGATAAATTAGCATAACCTGATTCCAACTTATCCATTTAAGGTTGATGAGTGAGTACAGTGCAATTTGAGGTAAGCATTTTACAGTATATTGGACACAAATATGTGTTACCAGGAGCTCAAAAATCACTTCAAGCTTATTTAACATCTGATCTACTGTATAAAGTGCCCTCCACAGTTGTTATTGATTGGTAAAGATGGCTAAAAAGCCTCCAGTTTAAGATTGCATGAACTTGTTCTAGAGAGGTGTTGCATTAAAAAAAATCGAAATATCTTTGATTGTATAAGCTTATTGTAACAAGAAGAAAAAAAACACCCAAATAAGGCTCACTTTGTAAGGATTTGAAAATTAGCATATGGTGAGAAAATAGCTTTTAATTTGTTCTTAAGAAAAAAAATACTAAGTACATGAAGCTATTTGCAGCATGAAGTAGCAGATTGTCAGTTGAAAATATAAAATGGTAAGCTGGAGTTTATTACTATCGTTTCCCCTACCACCTTAATTATTATGCAGGCGGATAAACCATAAACTTCATCCATTCATGCTCTGAATCAATGAGACTCTTTACAGACATGGTGATAAAATAGGCCTTCATCCAGCCTTTGCCACCATTATAAACTTTAAAATTAAACCGTTTTAGACAAGAAGCTATTTTTTGCCATTTTCCTACTTTTCATGATCTTGACACTTCAGCCTGACCTGGATGAAATATTGCTTCTATTTTTCCTATTTTAATGAACAGATCTATATTCCAGAAGATACAATTCTGTGGATTACTAAAGAGGTTTGGAAAAGATCCAGATCTTGGTCTCCAGGAAAAATATGTGAAGGCAGAAATATTAGATTTTTTAACTGTGTTTGAAATAAAAGTGCTACAGCTAAATGTGCTGTCACACTTGTGCATTTTCTTGCAACTCTCTGCCTTTTGTCAAATCTACCGGTACGTGGGTGTTTTTTTTCCTCCCCTATCTAAACACAGGATGTTTCTAAAGTGTTCAGTTTTAATATCCTGAGTCTCCTGTTACAGTTCTTTTTTTGTCTCTTTAAAAATTAAACATTTTAACACTTTTCCTATGTGCCACATTGCATCAGCACCTGTTAGCTTTTATTGTGATAGGATAGCAGTTTCTAGAGTGGTGATTTCATAAAAAATTTAACACGTGAGAGAATGTGTCTTTGAAACAAGGGGAGAGAAAGTTTAATTTGCCATAAGCGATCTGTTATTCAACTGATGACAATGAGTACTTATTTATAAAATTAACCGGCATGAAACTGCCAGTGCAAATTATCACTGGTGAACTTAATAATTTCTCTGTTACTGTAGGGAATAACAAACGCCTGGGAAAGTTTCCTCTATGGTCCTTGAGGAGCCTCTGACCCGTATGAAGCTCAGACTTAAGTGTCTGGGAAGAGTGGAATAGATGTTTCCCCTATTAATTTTTCTGCCATTAGCTGACATTGGTTATATAAAAAGGCTTTCTCTTTAAATTACAAGGACCTCTTTGCTTATGATATTCTCTTTCCATGTTTTATAATTTGCCTTCTGTCTATTTGTAAGTAAACTTAAGCATGCTGTATATTTTCCTTAACAAGAACACATCACCAGAGGCACAGTATTATGCATGTAGGTAAAGAGTGAACAAGGGAGTAATGGAGCCAATCAAATTTGCATTTCCTCAGCAGAGGTGTCAAAAACAAAGAAGAAAAACCAGCGATCGATGGTCCAAAAGCAATATTATAAAGGTTAATGTTCAGTAAGGTAGGAGAACTGCCACGCTTATGAGTGCATGACCAACTACTGCCAGCGGATGGCAAAGGGGTACAAAAAACAGTTTATGTCTGATGATCTTTTTTGGGGCGAACATTCTGTTTTTATGCTCAAAAAGGATTAAGTAAACACAATCAAGATAAACACTTGGCTTATATTGCTTCATTTTAAGATGAACTTGTGTTTTTCTTTTTTTATATATATATAAAGTATGTCACTTGTGCCTTTTAAAGAGAAATTATGTAGGTTTTCATTAAAAAAGCCTTTTTATTTGACCCTTTACAGCTAAAACATTGTTTGATAAGCAGACTGACACCTGAGTAGTTCAATACATCTATAAGCCTGCAGCCTATTTTCCTTAATTTACTTCGGGTCGGAAGTTCCCAATCTGTTCTGCGGATGTTACGTCAAGCATGTCCATGTTGAATGGGTCTGACCTATCATACAATCAAAGCGTTATTTTTGTGATGGATTAATTGGATACTCAAAAGGAATGAGCATAAGATTGCTGCAGTTCTGTGTTAAGGCCACAGGAGGCAGTATTATTAGAAAACTCTGTAATGCCTGTTTAAAGAATTTGTGTGGGAGTCATCAAAGTTTTGTTGTCTTCAGCTCATGGCCTTCAGCTTTTCCGAACTGTTGATTTGGGAATCTCTAATCCTAAAAATTGTAAATCCCTTTATTGACACAATGAGGAAATTCACTCTCTGCATTTGACTCATCCCCTTGGGAACCAGTGGTCTGCCATTGTGCGGCACCCAGGAGTGTGGGGTTAAGGGTTTTGCTCAGGAACCCAGAGTGGAGGCTATGGGGATCAAACCGGGTACTTGCAACCTTCTCAGTGCACAAGCACACTGCTCTAACCAATAGGCCAACACTCCCTATCCTCTAATTTTCTTCTAGAGATCACCCAATAGATTCTTAATTGGGTTAAGCTTAGACCAGTTTGCTGACCAATCAGGTGTGGTGACCCAATGGTCATCAAAAGTAGGTATAAATATATTTAGCCGTGGGTACAGGTGCTATGTCTAGTGAGAAGATTTAATCGCCAAAGCTTATCAGAACAGGGAAGCATGAAAAACGTACATTTCCTGGAACAGCTGTACTGACAAACAAGGAAAATACACAACTTTATGATACTTTCAATAATTCTTCTTTTCCACTCTTTCTCCAGAATGCTTTTCCATCTCTTTTATCCAACTCTGCATTTCAGTAGCCTTCAATAAACTGCTAGCCTCTTTAGTAATGATAAATCTAGCTTATATTACCTATAAGTTAAAACATATAAAAAGCATGTATTGCAGATTGATTCTATTGATTAGTGAGCATTTAAAGGAAAAGTTATGCACGTCTGGGTTTTGGAAGCCAGCATCCAGGCCCAGGACTTAGGAATTATTAAATAAGAGTAAAGAAGTAGATTTACAGATTTGAAATACAGTGGGGCCAAAAAGTATTTAGTCAGCCACTGACTGTATGCGTTCTTCTGCTTAGAATAATGAAAGAGGTCTGTAATTTCCATCATAGGTACACTTCAACTATGAGAGACGAAATGAGGAAAAAAAAAATCCAGGAAATCAGATTGTAGGATTTTTAAAGAATTTATTTGTAAATAATGGTGGATAATAGGTATTTAGACATTAACTAAAATTCAACTCAATACTTTTTAACATAACCTTTGTTGGCAATGACAGAGGTCAAATGTTTCCTGTTAGTCTTCACCAGGTTTGCACACACTAGCTGGTAATTTGGCCCATTCCTCCATCTCCTCTAGAGCAGTGATGTTTTGTGGCTGTCGCTGGTCAACACAGACTTTCAACGCCCTCCACAATTTTCTATGGGGTTGAGGTCTGGAGACTGTCTATGCCACTCCAGGCTTTTTAAGGTGCCACTCCTTCGTTGTCCGGACGGTGTGTTTGGGATCATTGACATGCTGGAAGATCCAGCAATGTTTCATCTTTTTTTTTTCTATCACTAATGGAAGGAGGTTTTGGCTTAAAATGTTATGGTACATTCTTCCCTCAGCACGAATCAGCTTTCCTGTCCCCTTTGCAGAAAAACAGCTCTTAAGCACAATGTTTCCTCCCCCATGCTTCACAGTAGGTATGGTGTTCTTGGGATGCAACTCTGGATTCTTCTTCCTCCAAACATGAGGTGTTGGGTTTTTACCAAAAAGTTTTATTTTGGTTTCATCATGATATTCTCCGAATCCTCTTCTGGATCATGCATATGCTCTCTGGCAAACTTCAGGAGGGCCTGGACATGTACTGGCTTGAGCAGGGGGACACATCTGGCAATGCAGGATTTGAGTCCGTCTCAGTGTAGTGTGTTACTCATGGTAGCCTTTACTTTGTTCCAAGCTTTCTGCTGGTCATTCATCAGGTCCCGCCGCGTAGTTCTGGGATTTTTGCACACAGTTCTCATGATAATTTTTACCCCACAGGATGAGATCTTGCATAGAGGCCCAGATCGAGGGAGATTAGGGAGAGTCTTCCATTTTCTTACAATTGCTCCCACAGTTGATTTTTTTCACACAAAGCTGCTGGCCTATTGTAGATTCACTTTTCCCAGCCTGGTGCAGGTCTACAATTTCTTCCTGGTGTCCTTCAATAGCTTTTTGGTCTTGGCCATGGTTGAGTTTGGAGTGTAACTGTTTGAAGCTATGGATGGGTGTCTTTTATACAGATAACGGGTTCAAACCAGTGCCAATATTACAGGTAACAAGTGGAGGACAGAAGAACTTCTTAAAGAAGACGCTAGAGGGGTCTGGGGGCCAGAAATCTTGCTGGTTTGTGGGTGAAGAAATACTTATTTTCCACCATAATTTACAAATAAATTCTTTAACAATCCTACAATGTTATCTCTTAGATTTGTTCCCCCTCATTTTGTCTTTCATAGTTGAGGTGTATCTATAATTAAAATTACAGACCTCTCTCATTATTCTAAGTAGGAGAACTTGTCTGAATACTTTTTTGCCACACTTTAAATCATTGTGATCTTAATGTTAACAATATAAAAGCCATAAATCACCAAATACTTCTTTATTTTTTACTTTTTGTAAATGTATCACAGTTTAGTGACATAGGAAGTATGTTCTACAAATAAGATCGTGATCCCTCCTCAATATATCATTACTTCTTAAAAAAGGTTTGCTGTATTTGATAAATTATTCTAATAGCTTTGTTTCTGTAAACAGACTAACCCTTAAATATTTCTAATATTTCTACCATCATCCTTACATCAATAAACTCTTATTGGTACAGTCACCTCTGCATGTAATAGTACTAGAATGTAAAACATTTATCAGGTGAATGTAAGTAAAATCGGACTACATTAAAAAGCTGTAAACTGTAAATCCTTATTCCATAAACATACATAAGGTACAGGTTTTAGCGAATAATTTGCTGATTGATATGGTGTAAACTGCTCATGTTGTTCAAGATTTGCACTTCTGGTTGTTGCAATGACCCCTTTATCTGCTAAAAGGTTCATACTTCAGTCATTTAAGAGAAACTTCCGTTGTAAGGCTGTCAATATGGATGCTGTTTTAGCAGTGGCAAAATCTATAGGTGTGAATCTTTGATCGTTCATCTTTTTGTCAGTTCCTCCAGACAGCAGGATATGTATCCGCAGAGATGAATCCTGCTGTGTTTTATCATTTCATTTTTAGAGTGTTAGTTCTTCTTTGGGGTCTCTCCTTCTGGACCTGACGGACTCTTGTGCCAAAAGCAAGTGACTGCAGGGACTCTGTAACAAAGCACTGTGTGGGAGACACGCACAGCATCACCAGCAGTTTGGCATCACCACCTGGTGGACAATATTGGAAAATGACAGGTTTTATAATGAGAAACTTGTTTCATTTAATACAATATATTTAGTTTAGTTATCTTTTAGCTTTTGAGTACTTAGATTTATGTTTTTAACAGTTCCACTACTGACTGCATGTCACAGCAATTATACCCCCTAATCACAAAAAATATCCTTGAAAAATTACAGAAATTTAAAAAAGAGGTTCTTCAGGGATCCAGTTGCATGAAGAAGGGTGATTTATATCACTTAATATCAATTAGTAACCTAATTTAATTGTATTCTTTGGATTTGCAAATGTCCTAATTGGAAAAAAATGAAAAAGAATGAAGAAACATATTTAAAGTAAAATACATAATTCATCCATTTTATGGCCATTTTTAACTTCACTCATTTTAATTGTTTGTTTAGACGATAAATCACATTTTCATCATAAGTAGAAATGTATCAAGATACCACCCCTGGTAGTTTGATTACCTACACTAAGAAATAATAAATCATGGTGAGATGAGTTCTAATTTAAGCTTTTTTTCATTCTTTATGGTGGAGCTTAAATGATCAGTTCCAAGTATTTATAGGTTTTCATTTGTTTTTTGATATTTCCTTTTATTTTGAAAGGTTTTTTTTTTTTTTTTTTTACTTATTTTTTCCAAAAGATGGTTGCAAACAAGATATAAAAAATACATGGAATGGCCCCACATGTCTCTGGGATATCTTTAATGTCTAAATTATTAAGGCATGAATTCAAAGGTTAGAATTGGATTTCTATCAAGGTCCAAATTTGTATCAAAATTGTCTCACTGGACATCTACATTTGAAAAACACAGAAAACCCCAACTTTAATCCGGTTGCTCCATCAATAATTGCCTTATTCTTCGGTAAAATCTAAAAATGAGGTGTTAGTTTAGGTATTAATCCCTGTGATCCTGCTCTACATAAGCAACTCTGTCCCCATCAGAGCGTTCTTATTCCTCGAGGCAGCCACTAGTGCAGAACACAGGATCGTTGCTTCACGTTATAGTAGGATGATGAAAACATTGTGGGTTAGAATTAATCATGCCTAAAAACAAGTTAAAGTTGTGTGTGTGTCTCACCAATGGCATCCTGCAGCAGGTGGGTGAGTTTGCTGTTCCTGTAGGGGACGTGGGGTCTTTGCTCAGCAAGAGCTCCAAGAACATCAGAAAGAGCCGAGAGACTTCGGTTAATGCATGACACCTCCCACAGAGCCGCTCCCGACACTCCAGTCATACCTGAATAGCACAATGTCTAAATGTTACATGATTTTAATTAGTCTGAATATTTTTCTATTTAGAAATAAGATTTAAAAAAGGGTTTTTAAAACCTATTTGAGCATTTTATTGTCATTACACTGTCACAAGTACAGAGAAATGACCTCTCTGCATTTAACCCATCCCCTTGGGGAGCAGTGGGTTGCAAACCAAATCCATATTTTGGAATTCCCATTATACTGCAAATTTAAAGAACATGCATGAGCACCTACCAACACATTCACTCCCTGCCAGGTCCACCAGCTGCAGCTTTGTCCTGTATGTAGTCGCTGATGAGATGCTATTTTTGGGAGAGGGGCAGGGAGAAAATGATGGAGAGGGACAGGAAGAGGAAGCTGAGCTCAGAGTCAGTTCATCAGACGAGTGCGTGGTTGGAGGGTTTGCACGGCGGCAGCGTGGACTCCACCACTGCTTACAGGAGGAGCTCTCCATGTCCTTTTTAGCCGTCTGTAACCTGCGGACTGGAAAGAGGACAGAGGAGGGACCAAGGCAGGAATCACATTAGCTCATTTTGTTTAGTTACTTTTTCTTTTTTAAATGATAGGTATCTCTTAAAAAGGATCCTCATTTGTCTTCAGGTCTGCAGTTAACAATTTGTTGAACATTTCTTTACCATCTTCTGTTCAAGTTTCTGCTTTAAGTCCTTCTCTCATCTATCTTTAAATCACCTTTTCAAGGGTTTGGCCTTGACATTGACTAGACCATTTACGGTAGATTTTAAACTATTTGATTAAAAAAACTAAAGATGTTGCATTTATAGCTCTTAGTGTGCTTTAACATTTTAAATCGCAACAATCTTAACCTGTTTGCCTGTTTCTTGGTGTATATGATGCTGTTCATTCACTAACGGTGTCTCCCAGATATGGGAGAAATGTGCTAACACTTTTTGCAAGACAGTGCATGTCTGTTTCTCACCTAAGGCCAAGGCATTTGGGGACTTTGTGGAAACGGTGAGGCTGACAACTAGATGAGAACGAGATGAGTCGGCGTGGATGAGTGTCGGACACTTCACCCGGCGCTTCAAGACACCACCCAGAATCTGCATGATCTCAGACGCATTATTCACCGGTCTGTAAATGGAACACAAAGCGGGAAGCTTAAACTTATCCTTAAACGTAACATCAACACCTTTAGACTTATTACAAAAAAATAAAAAGGATTTGAAACCCGTCTTGTTGAAATTCAGCATTTCAAACTGTGATAATACTGTTATATTCTTAACAATTGTGTATTAGTTTCAGAAGAAATAACAGCTTCCTATATGTGTGGTCTTTTCTAATACAGGAAAGCTTCTATATTTCATAACTTGATAAGATAATCAGCCTGGTTATTTCTCTCTAATAATCAACTTTAAAGAAAAGTTTTCCAACAATGAATGGTAGTTCTTGAATAAATGGTTTGAGAGCCCCTTCTTCTGTCTTCCCCAAATGAATTAAAGAGATACCTGAATCTGGAGTGGAATAAAATACAACACACTTGCAAAAAAGCAAAGTAAAACTTATACATGGTATCTCTGACAGAAAAGTTTGATTTGTTTTATCTGGTGCACATGTGACTCATTATCTAATGCTGGACAACTGCTCAGGGAACGGCCTTGAACCAAACTTCTGCTGACAGGAACAAAGCTTTATTATTCATGTGTCCTTCACACGTAGTCCTCCTTTACTCTGAACTTTAGAAAAAGCTCAAGGTGAGCATTTATTCTGCGTCAGTTCAGGACATCTGAACATGTTTTGTAGATTTAAAAAAAAGTTAAGCTTCTCTCAACAGAATGTTAAAACAAAAGAGTCCCTATCTTTAAAAATCCTGAACAATCTCCTTAGCTCCAGCTGCACTCACTCATATGTGAGGTTGGGGACCTGGCTGGTCCCAGAAGAGGTTGTGAGGACATCTCGGCGTTGGCTGATAAAGCGTCCTTGTTCGTCTCTGGCAAGCAGGTCATACACCTCGTTATTATACACCTCCATCACTGACACCTCCACCGTGTGACTTTCGGCTGGTTTCTTTGAGATCAGCCTTGTAGTTGCATGGGATCCGTCGAACAATCATTGGAATGTGAAACAAAAAGAAAAAAGTCAGAGAATTATATGAGTTCTTATCCACCACTTAATTCATATATTTTACAGGAAATTAACAAAGCAGAGCAATCTTCTTTATTATTGTCAATGGTTTGCATTTAATGTACTCAGACACAATCGGTAATGAGTCTTCAAATATGTATTAATTTCCTGTTAAAATCTGCCTGCATATGAATCTGGAATATATTCAGAATAGAATAAATCCATTCTCTCCAGGGAAGCTAGTAGCAACATTGAATGTGTTTTTCTCCTCATGCCTTTTCTTTAAATCTATCATCAGTTATTAGTAACATTTATTATTATGATGCTGTCTGAAAAATGAAACCAACTATAGTCTATGAGAATATTTGAATTTCCAGGACTATCTAATCTTTTTAAGGGATTTTAGGAAGAGTCTTGCCTTTAAATCAACTTCAGAACTTAAGGAACGTAATACAACTGTAAAATTGAAGTATGTCCACCATTGACATCCTATTATTTCAGTTATCTCTTGGATACCAGCTAACTTATTGCACACAATTTAAGTCTAATATCTGGTCATTCTCTAACAGTAGGGTTTATCTGTTATTTGGAAACACTCGATTGTCTACCCTAAAACATTACAGGGATGTCTGACACCTCGTGGGTAAAATGTAAAGAGCTGAGAGTTGGTTTCAGCTTTTGCACAGCAACTGTTCTCCATTCCAGAGTTTATGCTTTTCATTTTAGAGGCCTTCTTTTCTCACCGAAAGAGCTCAGCCGAAGCTCTGGGGATGATGCCCTCCTGAGATTCCTGCAGGATTCCAAGTTTTGCCTCTAGAGACTGGGATCCAATCATGGTGTGAGTTTTGCCACTTCCTGTCTGCCCATATGCCATAATGCACACATTATAGCTGCAGTGTAGGGAGGGAGAGGAAATGTGCTTAATGTTCAACTCTTTCAGTCAAACTACACTAAAATGAATGGATCTTGGAAATTATGTTTTTCCTGTATTTTTCCACTTACCCGTCCAGCAGAGAAGTAAGAAGGGACTTGACTTCCTCAAATACAGTTTCCTGGGAGTCCTCTGGTCCATGCACTCTGAGAAATAACAACAACAACAAATTTAAATAAATAAATTACTTACAGCCAAAAGGAACAAAACACTGAAAGAAACTGTTGGCCATTTATCTTACCTCTCAAATTCAAACATCTTTTGTTGCACTAGCATTCCAGTTTTCATGCAGTTCACTGCTACCGCGTCCTCCAAAATAAATTTAAAACAATCAGGCTGAATAGAGAATACTCACACAGCAATGGATTAAAACCTTTTAATAACTTACATCACTGATTGTATGGATGACTACATCTGATGAAGCAGAGCTATAAGAAACAATTACAAAAATGAACAACTTTCCACCCCATATATTCTTTGATAAATATCATCCCACGCTAAACCAACCCTGATCCGTGGGTCGAAGTTTGGACATGGTCAAAACGTAGAACTGGTCGCACCCTGCAGTGAACCCTGATGTTCCCTCTCAGTTCCTGCAGACCAAAACAGTGCATTTAAAGGTTCAACTATATTTAAAAAATGTATTTGTTTTCTCTACATTGATGCACTTCTCACCACTAAAGCATTGTGTATTTCCTTTCTCCTCTGCCTCTCTCCCCTGTACCTTTCCCTTTCCTCCTCCAGGGAGCGCTCCAGAGCTGCGACTCGAGCCTCCAAATCTTGGCATGAAATGTTGACAATAAGTAAGACTAAGCAGCACACGAGCACTGAAGGTGTAGCCAGGTTGTTCTTAATCAGTGCTTAACACAGACACATTGGTTTCAGCAGTTTTTAATCATTTTGCTTCAGGTTCAATAAGAAATAAAAATAAAAATGCAATAAAAACAAATATGCATTAAAATTATTAATATTTTTAGATATTCTTTGATGACCTGAAGTGTGACAAATGTTTGAAATATTGGCTTCATCAGAACAATTTATCCAAATGCCAAATTTATAATATTTCCATATACTGAAAATGTCAGTAAGTTTTCAACTTTTTCATTTGTTCTATTTTCTATTTGTGCTTCCTTAAAATAATCAACTGATGCATTGCATTATCATTATATACTTTATTGCTCTTTATAATCTTTTAAAATTAATTAAATAAGTTTATTTGATATTTTATATTTAATGAACTGTTTTCATGCATGTATCCCTGATTTCTAGTCAAGGTTTTTTCCCCTTGAGCACCAAGGCACCTATAGTTTACCTTCAATTATTCAAATTCATAACAATAAAACACATGGGATAATAAAATAAAATTTGAAATAATTTTTACATTTTGTTTGTAGGTATGACTAAAAATACTCAGGGTCTAAATATCTGCCAAGCCTAATAGCATTATTAAATTTGCAAACAAAACAATTTTTTCAATTTTGTTGCTTTTAGTTCTTTTATTCTATTACTTATTTCTTGCAGTGGTGTAACTGTATATTTCTTAATATTTCATTTATATTTACCAGCCTAACTCCTTATACTGTAACAAAACTAAAATGACCATATGTATTTTGGGGCTAATAAATAGCGAATAGCAGGAATGAAAACTTAAATTGTCGGATAACCTGTAAATAAATTACACGAAATAAGACAAGTAGTCAAGCATGGCTTTCACCAGCTATAGGATGATCTGTGGCGCATGAAAAGGCTCATCATGGCCCAATTAGGTGACCAGATAATTAACCACCAATCATATGAGAGCGACTCAATCAGGTAATTTGCTTTAATTGCAAAGAGTAGTGATTAGACCTTCAGTTACCTATAAAAACGAGCCTGAAACAAAGTAAAGTGGATTATGTGTGAAGATTATTCTTACAGTGATAGATGAACCACAGAGTCTGGAAATTACTTTAGAAATATAGAAAGTATTCTTGTTTAAATGTAAATAATGCATTTATCATTTTTTGGTGATATTGGAAAAACTGTGAGGAAAATTCTTGACATTTTACTTTCTTTTAAATCAAAAGTACCAAAAGGTAAGTGTTAAAAGCAGAGTGTAAGTACTTAAGGATGTTGGTACTCAAGCTACAACCTGCTTGTTCCAACTATTTGCGTCCGAGGCTCCATGTGCAAAATTTTGAGTTACAAAGTGCTCTCTAAGATGGAGTACAGAATACATGCACACTTACTCTGTAGCTCCTTTCCATTGGGATCATTCAGACAGGAGCCGGCCTCCTTAACTTTCTGCAGCAGCTGCTTGTTCTGCTCCTCCAGTTCAGAAGCAGAATTAACAAAGACTGCAAAGACCTCACTCAGGACCTGTTTTATACCCTGTCAAGATGGAACAAAATTTAATGGGGTTTTTTTTCTGGGTGTATATAAGCCTGTGCATTTGGTAATCAATATATAATCCGCATACCTGGACCTGAGTGTGGAGCTTTACAAGAGAAGATTGGAATAATTTCTTCTGGAGTTGATGATGATCTGTTGTTGTTCTGTCTTCTTCATATTCTTGAGCCTCCAGCCGAACTGCATACTGAAAAAGATACATCTTTTTTTCTGCATTATACTCACTCAAAATTTTGGAAAGCTGGTTAAAAAAAAAAATCAATACACAATGCTTTCAGTTAAGAAACATCTTCATTAACAGTTTTCTATATAAAATGTGTGGCGTGTATTTAATTGAACCCATCTTTATTCTGGTAATCAAAAATTAGATAAAGAGTAGCTGAATGTTAAAGGTCAGATGAGAACATAATGTAACTTTTGGGCCTGAATTAAAAACACAATGGTTCACCCAATTAATGAGCGCTTAAACTATTTTTGCAAACAAGAAAATAGCATTTCCTATTACAGAATTTGTTCAGAACAATTTTAAAGCTGATATGGCAAAAATAATAGGGCTAAACACTATTTAAAGGAGTATTTTGTGTCTGCTTCTGGCTGCCACCATAGTTTGTGATGGTGTGCTGGTAGGATCCTGATGCATTGGAATTGATTTTCCTTCTGGAGTAAAAGGAGCTTTTTTGTTGTTTTTTCCATTGGAGGTTTGGAACACCTATCTGTGACTGGTTATAAATAAAAACCATCAGATCAAAAAATGGGTATTGCTGGAATGGTATATATCTCTACTATTATTATTTCTGACAGTCCAAAGATGTTGACACAAGCCCAGAAGATTCCTTCCCCCTGCCGTCTGTTTTTCTGTAAATATATTTAATTCTCCCCACAATGACTGCAAACATGTTGGTTTTAAGGCTGTGCCAGTTTGTAACTGCCTTTCAAATGTGCTAAACATGGAGGAAAAATTGCAATCACGATCAGTCAGTTTGGTAAATAATAGGCTTGCATATTCTTCTCTCAAAATTTAGCAAGCTCTGATTATCAGTATATATTTTTGCTTACTCCTGAGGGCATACGCACTAAATTAATTAAATCAGCTTTTTTTATTTATCTCAAAGATGAGTTAGTAGATCAGTTTTGTGCATGTTTTTTATTTTTATTTTTTTAATAAAATAGACTTAATTACATTAGATCCTATGCTTAGTGGTACACCGGTATTGCACATCGCCACACCATCACTATGGTGTAATATGGAGGTGGCAGCATCATGCATTAGGGATTGTATTCTTTAGAAAGGAATGGAAGGTTGGTCAGAGTTAATGGAAAGCTTTGTGGAGCCGATTGAAGGACAACAGTGGGATAGAACCAGTCAGATAACTAGTAAGACTTGGGATCTGTGAAGACTTGAAAAGATCCACTTTACAATAATGTGCTACTTTGTTTTTATCAATCACATTAAATAAAAAATAATAATAATTTCATACTAACTGTGTGTTTATAACAAAGCAAAATGTAAAAAAAAAATAATGATTTCAATACTTTTGCAAAAAAAAAAAAAAACTGTAGCAATCCAAGCTGTGCTGAGAAAGAAATCTATTACTGTAATCTTCTTACCTCAGAAAGTCTTAAATGAAGAATAGCATTCTCTGTCTCCAGTTCAAGTATTCTCTCCTCTTTATTCTACAAAAAAATAGGTTAGATAATATTGCCAAAGGTCTGAGGGAATTACTACAAAGAAAATGCACGCATTTCTATTTATAATCCACTCTTTGACATCAGCCCCTCACATAATCACTCACCCTCAGTTTGTGCTCCAGTAGATACACTTGATGTGCAACTATTTGGTCCCTTTTTATAAAAAGAGACATTTTTTGACAAAAGAAAATAATAAAATCCCAGAACTGATAGGCTGACCTTGTCCCTTTCCTTCTTTAGTGCCCACGTAGTGTCCTCTCTACTGAGGTAATCCAATTAGGGACGATCAACAACTCAACAACAAACAACTCCCATTCTCCTTACCTGTCGACAGGTGGACATCAATACCCCCAAAATATACATGTAATATATGTTATATAAATATTGATATGTACTCATAAAAAAAACAATCAACATAGTGTGGCTAGTTAAGAACAAGACTTTAAATCAAACAAGTGGCGTTAACTAACTTGTAATGCGAGGTTTCACCAAGAGAGGGCAGCAAAGCACTCTGGTGTTGACGCCTCACAGAGGGAAAATAAACACAACGAAGAAGAAAATCACTTCCGTATAGTCAGAGCTTTTCCAGCTGCCTGTACTTTGCCCTCTATAGCTTTAGCCTTACAATGACTAAAACAAAAGACAAGAAACGAGAAAATGTCAGCATTGCTTCGGAGGTAAAAACTTTAAGCTTTATTTTTTTGGTATTTGTAAGCCTGTCGGATTCCATTCAAACTGCCGAATGGCGTTCATCCCTCTGTTTTATCTGTTTTCCCTCTCTTTGTAGTTTATTTGAGTCGTTACAATCAGTCAGTGCACACATCAAACTGTCTTTACGTGATCTTAATGTTTGCCCCATGTCTGTACAGATTGACAGGCTGGAAGAAAGGCGGGAGCGTTGCCATGACAACCTGGATAGGGCGGAGTTTAAGAGCAGAAGGGCGAAGCTGTCCGAGGAGGAAAGGTGAGGGTGGAGACTCAAAACACGTGTGGAAAAAGAAAGAAGTGGAGGGATTATCCATCCATCTAAATTTTTTGTGTTAAAGGAATATCTTTGAACTATAAATGTTACTATCTATCAACATGGGCCCATCTTTTATTTTAAACTAGAATCGTGTGCAATAATTTGCTATTATCTAAGTCAACCCGTTTTAAGTTTATTCTGGGAATAAATGCAGTTGTTCTGTTAAACCTCAGGATTTTGTGAGTAAGTGTTGGTGATCAATGCACACAGCAAACAAAGAGGTCACAGTTAATGTTTTTCAACTCAACTCAACTTGATTGTCAAATGTGCTACATGGTAAACATACAACACAGATGAAATTTCAGTCCTCTCAACCCCACGGTGCATAATAAAATATAAAATATATTTTTGAGAAGTTTAAAGCAAGGTTTAGTCAAACAGGCATCCAGAGCACCAGACGTCTAATGAGTGTTTAGCTCATCATCAGAAAATGGAAAGAGCATGGCACAAATGATTGTTGAGATGGCAGCCAATAGTTAGGTTTTCCACAAGTCTGGCCTTTATGTGGGATTGGAAACTAATGGAAACTGGACATTTTGGTTTGTATGAAAAACAAGTGGAAAAATAAAATTCAGGCCTAATGAGCACATCAAACTGCAACTACATGATCCCTAGGAACTTAAGCATAAATGACCCATTACTTTCATTTTGGCATCTGTGGTGTAGAAATATGTTTATTAGTAGCATTTTGTGTTTTTATCGGAGATTAATCTTGATATGCAAATCTCCTTCTTTTTTACAGACAGGAACTGGAAAACGAAATGGCAATCATAAATGAAAGAGTGCAAAAACTAGGTGAGCCGGTGTACCTGAAATAAATATTCCTAGTGACAGATTTGTATTGTGTTTGCGCACGGTCTGATCATCACTGACAAGTGAAGTAAACTCGGTTTATTTTCACTTTGATTACTTTCATAAAGTCAGAGGATTTAGATTCAGAGATATTGACTTCCTTGTTGCAACACGGCTGCATGCTAACCCAATGCTAACACTGTTTTAAACCAACAAAAATATTTTTCTTATAACTAAAATACATTAATTTTCAATGAAAATTTGAAGAGGCTGTAAGTACCTATGGTTAGGTGGGATGAAAAGCCACTAGGGCAAAATAATCAGATTAATCGATTATTGAAATAGTTGTCTTCTTTTTTAGTCATTGATTAATCATTAGCTGGAGTATAGAGACATTTAATGGCAGAGCGACCCACTTAGAGCAGTAAATAACCCAGAATTGTAAAAAAAAAAAAAAAAAAATGTTGCATTTAAGTTCCATCCAGAATTCCTTAAGTGGAAAATTTTAGGTTCACCTGGTTTAATTTCATAAAAAGTCTTCTTTCTGGAACCTTTGTTATCCAATTATAAATCGAAAAAAAAATCAACAGAATAAACGATTTGCAAAATTATCGTTAGTTGCTGCCCTAAAAGCCACACACATTTATTATAAGATTTTGATTGAAACTTTTTAGATTTCACAATTAGCATGTTTTTTTTTTACTAAGTTTAGTAAACAAAGAAATTAAATAAGATTAAATCCAATCATGCAGTGTCAATTACAGTTAAATCAGAGACTGTTACCAAATATTACATGTCAATTATTGTTATTCTTTTTTTGTCTTAAGATAAAGAGCTTGCAGTGTTGAGAGGGGAAAACCGAAGGAACATGGTGTTGTCAGTGGCTCTGCTGACTATCAGCGCTCTCTTCTATTACATGTTTTTCTACAATGAGGATGACACATGATGCCGCAGAAGACCTCAAAAGAATCTGCTATTCATAACAGCCTTGCTACAGAATGATTGACTTCCTAACAAAAAGACTTAAACACACTAAAAGAAATAAGCCAAAGGATTGAATGAAATGTCTGTGTTTTGCCTCCAGGTGGCATCGTCGCCATGTAAGTGTCTCTCATTGCAGATTTGCCAAAGTTGCCAAATCCACCATCATTTTTTATTCCTTGAGAATCCCATGGACCAACAAAGATCATGAACGCTGTTGGTGAAATTTCCCTGTGAAATAAGTGAACATGATCTTCAGCGTGTTTCTATCATTGTTTATAAAACACTTATTACACATAAGCACATACTGAATGTACAGTTTGCCTTATTTAAGCCAGTTCCTCATTAAAAACAACGCATGTCTGCATTTTCAGTCATGTATTTGACTTTTATTTTATATTGCATGTGTAAACTACAAAAAAAGCAGAATGATGTTATTGTTTGCATTGATTCTAAAGGGACTTCCTACCACACTTACTGCATGTAGTCGCATGAGCATACGAAAACAAATATACTGAACAATGTTTTCCTGTAAATATGCAATGTTTGGCTTGATTTATTTCCTTTTTGTAAATAAATACATATTCAACAGATTTAAAAAGCCTGTCCTTTTGCTGATGTACTACTTTATGTGCACCACTTGGGGATCAAAAGACCTTTGGGAATGACAGACTACTAGAGATGTTTAAAAAATGTTTTTGGTACTTCTGTTGTTAGTCATTTTTGTATCCAGTTTAGAAACATTATTATACTTAATTTAGATTAATGCAAATAATTTAGGGATGATCAGAGCTAAATTTCCTTTACCAATCAAGTGTCAATGACAATTTTTCCCTTTAAAAACATGCATAAATTGAACATTCACATGATTAATGTCAATATACGCTCCCCGCTCCAGCCGGTGAACAATACCTCCTTAACGACCAACCCTTAACAATCATAGACAGGTTTCAGGTATTACAGGAGACAATGCCCCCTTTAATGACAATCTCCCCCTTTAACGACCGACCTTCAGAATCATAGACAGGTTTCAGATATTACAGGCTAACAATGGAACCAAACAACCCACTCATCGGTTTCCATTTGCATGGTTCCAAACAATACAAGGCCTTGTCTATATAAAGACTCAAACTCACTGCGGATCCAGACATTTGAATTGAGAAGGCTTCCTGGAGAGGTGGCGAAACGTCTTCAAATCTTGGAAACCAAGTCCAGTGGATTTTTTTTTTTTTTTACTTTTACGGTTTGAAATACAAACATTTAATGTAATAAATTTATTTAAGTGGCAGAGGTGTATTGTATTAGTCTATTGCTTTTTTTATTTTTTTATACAGCAGTATAATTTTTACATTTGATGCAACTAAAAGTTTTAATTTTCTTTTATTCCTGCAGGGCATTATAAGCCTTCTTTGTAAATATTACTTTTTATAGATCAATAAACCCCTGTTTTTACCCAAAGTCTGGCTAGTCTTGTAAAATAATAAAGCAATGATTTTGTGCTACTTTATTTTTGAAAAGATACTTTGCATCATGAATTTCAAATTAATAAATGTTTATGGACCTTTTATTTTCACAAGAGAACAGATTATTGGAGTTTTCTCGTCTTAAGTTGCAGAACCGATAAAATGACAAAAACTAATCGTGGAGTCATGAGTTAAAATGTCTCAGACCAACCATGTACCAAAAAAAAATATTTGTAGAATTAGGTGAGATGTTCAATGTTTCTGTGATGGTTGTGTTTATAAAAAGATAAAATCAAATATGAATATTTGGTCAAAGAAAATTTAAAATGTGTTGCTTGTGGAGATTTTTTATTGTGCTGGGAAAATATTTGTGTGCCCTCCCTCCTACACTCTATTAGCACCAACGCAGACTTTGTCACCCCTACGCCTGCTCACTCTCTCATGTCCAGAGAAAACAAATATCAACAAACCTATTATGCAACCCATCTGTGGGATTTAAATGATTACCATTGTCATCACCATCCCTGAATTCATATGGATAATCACTTTCATATTGGTATGAAGATTGCTTAAAGAACACATTTCACACTAAACAGCTGCACTCTTTGCCGAAGCTGAACTACTGACAGTCAGTCCTCTGTGATCCCCTGTACACTTTCAAATGTCATGATTGAATGACTGGCTTACCTCGCAGAGTCTTTTCAAATTTAAATTTTGTTTTTTTGTACACCAAAACGCCAGGTGCCTTTGTTTAATACTTTTCATCTAAATGGGAGTTCAGTGTTTGCAATCAGGTTTCAATATGTAAGATTAATTGTATGCAAAACATTATTTTTATTGTAAAGATCAACATTTTTTCCTATGTTTATGTTTTGAAGTTAAGAAAAAAAAAATGAGACGTTAGCAAAGGGGATGTATACAAAAAGGTAATATCTAACCTATTGCACTGAAAAAAGAAGTACTGAATATTTTAGCATAATCATACTCAGTAAAATTCAATGTTACAATTATATGAATATATACATTAATATTAACCCTGGAACCCTGCTTTTGTAATTGAATCAATATAAAAAAAAAGATGCTAGGGAACTGCCTGTGATGTAGAAAATGGATCTTACCTATGAACAGCTGTATATAGAAAGTATAGTTTAGGAAGGTACCATAATGCTCAAGGCTTGTAAGTACCCTACTGTATTTTTAGTGAAGCACTCATTTTAAAGGCTCAGCCAGAGTGATGTTTAAAAGCGTATAAAAAATGTTTCACTAATCAGCAGCTGTAATAGCAGCTAATCATGAGTATTTAAGTATTTTGCGTTCTGCGAGGGATGCAAGTCATATTCATAAGGTGTGTCACGCTGCTTGTGCCTGATTATTCCCTTGTTTGCTATTTCTACATTAGTCATCATCGCTGCAGTTAGGAGAGGGGGAACAATCTCCAAACAGTTTCTCCCTAAAACCAGTTGAAAGCATGGTTTTGTAGATTGGGGATAGATTTGATTATCGAGGTCATTCTTTTCTACCCCATCCTTTAAGGTTCAGAGAGTGTAAAATAGGAGGATGTGGTGAAGTAAACAGATGACAGGTACTCATGATGTGTGTGAACGACATCACCTAAATGTGTCAGGCAAAATGCTGTCACTCTGTCTCCTTAACCTTACTTTCCTGCGGGTCAAATTGACCTTTTCCACATTATTGCAGATAATTCCTTCTGTATTTTCCGGTTTGCATCATTTGGCAGGCTAACTTGGAACCAACATTTTGGTCAGTTTGACATTTATCTAGGAGATAGAGTTTTAATGGGGCTTCAAATGTTTGCTTAAATGTTTTCTAAATTTCTGTACTTTGCTCAGATGATTGGATGTATTAAGCATTAAATATGTTCCTTCAATTTTCAAACTACAACTAATGCACTTTAGGTAATAATATTTAAGCAGAACAGGAGATCTAAATTCAAAGAGGTGCCTGAAAGTGCCTCTGGATTGTTATGAGTCTTCAAAGAACATGTTAGATGTTTTGGTGCATTTTTGACTCTTATTTCTTCAGAAAAGAAATCCTATCCTGTCCCTATTCAAAAAAAAAATTTGCTGTACTTTAAACAGGCATTTTTAAGGACCTTGGTTTATCAAAGCATAGAGTTAAGCCTAAAATTGTTTTTGATTTATAAGGAAGGTTTTTTTTTCTTTTTAAAACGTTTCCTCTGACTGGAAGTTGCATTAAAATTTTGGAACATCCAACCAAAGTTCCAACTAAAATCTGGTAGAGAATCCAAGGAGGGAGCAAATGATTCCTAGAAAAGGAAGTATGGGAGGAAGGTCTTTTAGTTATCAAGTTTAGCTCCTGTGGAACTAATTACCTATCTTAATCTGTGTGGCAGACACCCTGTCACTTTTAAGGCTAGGCTGAAAACTTTCCTTTTTGACAAAGCTTTAAGTTAGAGTGGGTCAGGTTATCCTGAGCATTCTCTAGAGTTATGCTGCCGGAGGATATAGGAACCACTTTTTCTTCATTCTGCTTCTTTCTGCCTCTATTCTCCCATTCTGTTGTTAGTTCAACCCTACAGTAGCTGTATGTACTCTCTTCCATCCTCTGACATAGGAACTGGCTCAGAGCTTGTCTGCCTGGCTGTGTCTTTCCTGGTGGGGCCACCTGTAGGGCAAGATAACAGTCACCTTTCGTATGTCTGCTTCTTCTTGGATGTCCGTTTCTGTCTCCTTGAACCCCAGTCGGCCTATGCACAAGGCCGCTCACATTTAGCCTGGTTCTGCTAGAGGTTTCTTGCCTGTTAAAAGGGAGATTAACTTCTCAACTGTTGCTTGGTGTGAGGGATTGCTGTCAAGTCAACGAATCAATACAATCAGCAGGTTTTCCTTAGAAAACTTGGACAAATCTGACTGTTTGATCTGGTTGAGGCGTCTCTGTAAAGTGACTTGAGATGACATGTGTTATGAATTTGTGCTATATAAAAAAAAAGTGAATTGAATTTGAATTGATTAGGGTAATAGTGAGGAGGGGTTTTGTCATGGTTTTGAATAGGCTTTTGGCCACATGCAGAGCACACTCAGGAGACAGGAAAACGTTTAAGAATATTTTCAAAGGACAACAAGAACTGGAGGTAGAAGGACCTGGTTCTTCAGTAATTAGCTAAGTGGAGCTGCCAGGGGGAAATAAGTTGAGTCTGAGGAGTTTCACTGGTGAGCAATCAGGGGGCCAGTCTCCAGAGTTGGAACAGTTGGAGGGTGAGCAGGGTTCAATCAGAGCCAAGAAGGCTGCCAGCAGGGAACACAGCAGGGAGTTTCTTGGAAGGGAACTGGGAGACCTTCTGGAGACAGAATCCAGAACACAGAGGCGGAAGCTACTGGAGGCAGGGAGTTTCTTGGAAGGGCACTGGGAAAGCTTCTGGAGGCAGAATCCAGAACACAGAGGTGGAAGCTTCAGGAGGCAAAGTCCAGTACACAGATGCTGAAGCTTCTGGAGGCAGAATCCAGAACACAGAGGCGGATGCTTCTGGAGGCAGGGAGTTTCTTGGAAGGGAACTGGGAAAGCTTCTGGAGGCAGAATCCAGAACACAGAGGTGGAAGCTTGTGGAGGCAGAATCCAGAACACAGCAGCGACTACATTGGTTAACATTCTGGCGTTGAAGTTCTGGCAGCAAGCTCCTTTTAAGCCTCCTACTTGATGAGGTAACGAGCAGCACCTGTCAGGCCTCAGCCACCCTGCTCTCAGAGGCCACCTGTGGAGACTGCAGGAAGCAGCAGCCAGGAAAACAGGGAAACCCCCCCTACAAAAGCTAATCACGAAAAGAAAAAATATTAGTGGATACAGGTAACAAGCTGGTCAGCAGCTATAATAAGGGGCCAATTGCTGTAATACCAAATTTTATAATTTCATTGATTACTGAGAATGCTGTAAGAAAGCTAATATAAAAAATAAAATAAAAACAGAATCATTTTTGTTTCTTGTTAAATTTGGTTCCTCTCTTACATTTATAATATTATTTTTTTAGATGAATATCTATTATCCAACAAACCTTCTATGAATGAACCTACATCTAATAATATATTTGTCTATATCTCTTTCAGTTCATAGAGAGGTTGTCATTATATCATCGTGTTCAGCTGTATTTTTAACAACATCCA